TAATACAACGATTGCACGGTTCATCGCTAATACATAAATATAACCATAATTATAATAAAAGGTATAAAACAAATGCCAATTGATTAATCATCAGTAAATGAGATAATCCCTGCTGAAGTTTTAAAAGTCTAGATGATCCATCATTATCAAAGCTGTGTGAAATAATTACAAAAATTAGGAATGAGGAAAAGCTGCCCCTTTTGAAAAATGCCATATTTACTCAGCTATATGAAAATAAGGGAGATAAAAGTGACTGCAATAATCACCATTGCATACAGTAAAGTCCCGCCTTTAAGAAACTCATTTCACAAAAACAGCCCGATTGGTTTCTTATTTGCAAATATAATTTTTCGAAGCAGGGTATATATACCATGGTATAAGACTACATGCCAAAAAACTACATTCTCATAGCACCAATGCAAAACGTTTTTCCTATGATCGTGGGGATTATGATAAGATGCGCAAGATGCTACAGGAAATTGGGAAGTTGAACTGCAAGGTCTAGAAGCGAATTTGATTATGCTTTATATTGAATCTAAGATTTACACTACAGTGGGAGAGTGTATACCCCAATATCAAATCAACAATGAGAATAAAGTTCCATTACGGATGAATGACAACATAATGAAGATAATTAAGAAGAAATATAATGTGTACAAAAGGTGGTTATTAACCAAAAAAGGAAAGGATTACGAAAGATACAAAAGAAAGAGCAACCAGTTAAATCTACGCTGAGAAAATCTACGCTGAGAAAATTGTTTGAAAATAAAATTACAGATCGATTAAAAACAAACTACAAAAAGTATTGGAATTATGCTCGTTCCAAGCTCAAGTCAAATACTAAAGTACCGGATTTAAAAATGGAAAATGGGACCTACACAGAAACTGAGCAAGAAAAAGTTGATATCCTCAATAAATTTTTTAGTTCGATATTTACAAAAGAAGATGAGACTTCTGTCCCACTGATCGATAAACAATTCTCAGGTTCAGTGCTAATAGATATTGATATTAGAGAACAAATGGTACTAGAAACATTACAATCGTTGAAACCCTCAAAGTCGCCGGGTCCCGACGGCTTGCACCCGAAAGTCTTACGTGAAATTGCTGCACAAATTGCAAATCCGTTATGTTTTATGTTTAGAGCAAGTCTCCAAGTTGGACTAATTCCTGGTACCTGGAAACTTGCTCATGTTACTCCAATATACAAAAAAGGCAAAAAAGACCAAAAAGAAAACTACATACCAATAAGTTTAACTTCGGTTGTTTGCAGAATAATGGAACGATTGATTAAAAATGTGCTAACTGATCACCTACTTGAGAACAAATCATTTACACCGGGTCAGTATGGTTTTAGAGAATTTCGATCGTGTTTGTCGCAACTATTAGAAGTCTTCGAAGAATGGACATCGCTTTTAGATGATAACATTGACATTTGACTCTCTTGACCCGTTGACATTTGACTCTGTACCGCAAAAACGCCTTCTTACCAAAATCGAGACGTATGGTATTGAAGGATACATATACAACTGGATCAAGAGCTTTTTAACTGGTAGGAAACAGAGAGTTGTATTAAATGGCTTCAAATCAGAGTGGACAACAGTGACTAGTGGAGTACCTCAGGGAAGTGTCCTTGGTCCACTGTTATTCTTGCTGTATATAAACGATTTACCTGACAACGTAAAATACTGTCAAGTCAATATCTTTGCTGATGATACGAAAATATATTCTCCTTCTAACTGTCAAGCGCAACATATTCAAAATGGTATTGAATCGCTCAAAAATTGGTCAAAAACATGGCAGCTTCCGTTTAACAGTGATAAGTGCAGTGTACTTCACTTGGGTAGCTCCAATCAAAGAAATTGATATTATATGCCAGATGATTTAACACAAACAAACACGATGATTAAATCAGTTGAATCAATTCGAGAACTTGGAATTATAGCTGACAACAAATTCAAATTTGACAAACACAACGCAGAAATCGCAAAAAAACTAGCGGTTTTTTAGCGTCCATTATAAGAACCATGAAATTCGTCAACAAAGAGACCTTCAATGCTCTTTACAAAAGCCTAGTTACTTGAAAACTGTGCGCCAGTTTGGAATCCATGTAAAGAAAACAAATTAAGACATTAGCATCGGTGCAAAGACGAGCAACAAAGTTGGTGAAGGAACTCAAAAACAAATCGTACACGGAACGCTTACTTTTCCTCGATCTCCCAACATTAGGCTATAGAAGAAGACGTGGAGATATGATAACAACTTTCAAAATACTACACGGCATGGTCGATACTGATAGTAAAGTATTTTTTTAACGAAGTACTTCAGTTACAAGAAGACACAATCTCAAGCTTTTCAAGTTTCCTTCATCGTCGAGCATGAGGAAGAACTATTTTTCAAACAGAGTAATAAATGAATGGAACAATTTGCCAGCAACCATAGTCAATTCGAAGTCAGTTATAGAGTTTGAGAAATTATATGACGATTTTTGCGGGAACGAGAAGTACAACTATGAATACGCTTAAAAACGAACGCTAAAGGGTTTAATAGGCCAATGGCCTCCTTATCCCTCATTATATCATATCATTACTATTATTATTATTATTATTATTATAGAGGGATCCTCTCTTTTTGCCGATATACCTGGCTTCTCCTCACCTTCCATCATAACTGGAGACAATCTGCGCCTAGATCTACTTCTGCGTACAAAGGAAAACATTCTTTATCTTTTGGAACTAACGATAGGATTTGAAACTAACCTTAACTGCAATGCAGAAAGGAAACGTTT